GTAAAGCATAATCTTTTGCTCACCATCTCGAGACGGTCATTGAAGCCTCTCCATTCCTCGCCTAGAGCCCGTTTGTTGAATTCAGACTAGCATTGTTGTATAAGTCCCCCGAAACAAGTTTGCACTATCATTTAGGTTACCCAACGTCATTCTTCAGTATGTAATGGACATGGTGTCCCCTAACATCGGGTTTAAAATATGTACATAGCATAACACGTGAATATTGCCCAGTGAGGATGTTTCAAGCCAAGCAGTAAATCCATTTGTACATTCCGCTATTTGTTGCACTGTCAGTGCTGTCTCATACAGCATTTCTTCACATTATTGTTGTGCCTTTCTTCTTTTCAACAAGTGAAACAATTGTTTACCTTCACCTGACTGTGAATCCAGAGAAGCCAAAAGCTGTTATTGTACAACTCCATAACCTACTATTGGCTTATATTTGAGAACTGGTCCATTTTTGTAACGTCCAGCAGCATTTACCGTTTCAGAAACATTTTCCGAAGTTTGATCGTCTCCCTTCTTAGTACCGCTAACGTCACAAACTGCAGAAACGCCACTGTCCATGTCTACCTTGTTACTTTAAAAACTATTAGCAGTTTAAGGCCCAGAGACAAAACTGAGGGTTTCGTGGCATTCTATTGACTCAAATAGCAAAATTGTACTATGCGAAATCCGTTCACCTTATCAGGGCCTATTCCATGGTGATCTTGCACTTGGCTTATGTGTGCAGTTCGCCGGAGTTACCAAAATTACCCCCCCCCCCCACGTGACACAACGGTATGTCTGCGGACTTACAAACAGGATTTCGATACCCGTGGTGAGCAAAGCACAGATAGCCATTGTGTAGCTTTGAACTTAACTTCAAATAACAATAATCTATAAAACTTTTCAACCTCAAGGAGTGCTTTTTGGCTTTTTGCTTTCCTATTTTTAAAGTAAGTATTTTTTCTTTCGTTTTATCCCATTTGATATTTCTAAATAATTGCTACATAAAAATTTTAATTTTATCTGATTATAAGTAAGTTATAGCAAATTGCAAGTGACTAGGAATATATATTTTATGTGGATAAGTTTAAAAGAAATAGTTAAGACATTTACGCAACATATACTGCATCTAACACGATTTGAATTAGCTAGAGAAAAGTTATATCGCAGTTCTCCATGTTATCACTTCTGTGTTCAATGTGAGAAATACTTTCCTTTGCATACTAAGAAAAACTGTGGGTTTCGTTTAATTTTCGCCCCCCAGTGGCACAGCGGTATGTCTGCGGACTTACAACGCTAGAAACCGGGTTTCGATACCCGTGGTGGGCAGAGCACAGATAGCACATCGTGTAGCTTTGTGCGTAAGTTCAAAAAACAAACAAACAAACAATTTGTTTAATTTTCAGGTATTTACTATACACTGACAATATGTAACAGAATAAAGATTTTACTTACTTTTATATTTTTTCGAAAAACATTTGTTTCTAACTTTGACGTTTCGCAGCTACTGCCTGTTACACACTGACTATTACATTTAACTGCAAACTGACATGAGTTCTTTCAGTTTGGTCGCCCAGTAGCACAGCGGTATGTCTGCGCACTTATACTGCTAGAAATCGAGTTTCGATACCCGTGGTGGGCAGAGCACAGATAGCCCATTGTGTTGCTTTGTGCTTAACTTCAAACAAACAATACTCCTGGTGGGCACAGCACAGATAACCAATTGTGTAGTTTTGTGCTTGATAACAAACAAGAATAACAACAATGTTTCAGTTTGTCAAACGATAGGGGCGAGGTTGTAATTCTCATGTTGTAACTTTAGGTTTGATACTTGTAGAGGAGGATGACTTTATTATCAATAAACAACTTTATTATCAAAGTATGTCAATAAATTTACCATCAAAACTTAGTTTTTATTTAACTTTTATATAATTTAAGATTTAAGTCCTTAATTTTAAAAGGAAATATTTAAATAAATTATCAACCTACACTGCTCTGAGTCAACTGACGCCCCAGCGCTTTCAGTTGCTTCTTTTAATTTTTTTTCTACTCTTATATGATTGTTCAACCAATTAGAAATATATACACGCACGTACGCAAAAGGGGGGTTCGGCCAAACTGTGTTTTTGGTTCTGGTGTTTCCCTAATAGAATAATGCTGTAAAGAACTGACTTCACTAAGGTGATTATTCACATCGTACCTTGAAGCACACCAGTAATATTGCAAACAAGTCGACTCCTGTAGCACAGCGGTATGTCTGCAGACTTACCGCGACAGAAACCGGGTTTCGATACCTGTGGTGAACAGAGCAGGGATAGTTCATTATGAGCCTTGTACTTAACTACAAACAAACGAAGCAAACAAATCCAATATTAATGTTAGCATGCCACGAGTTAGTCAACGACAAGCTCAACATGGAAGATTACTTTAAAAAAAAAACAGTAATCATTCCTTTTCTTGACCACATCATCAGTAATTTTCCTCCAGATTTGATGGACATGTAAAGCAATTAGCATCAATTTAGAAATTTATGCCATCAAAACTCACACAAGAGTTTTCTGTTTCTGATATCAGACAGGCTATAAAGTTTTTACAGGGAAGATTTGCCAAATCCTGATATTTTTGATGAAGAACTTCATCGATGGAAGACAAGATGGCTTTCTATACCTCTCTAGGACAGGCCCCAGATACTGGCTGACTGCTTAATTAAAAGCGTGTTTCAGTGTACCAAATATCTTTATGTTACTGGAACTCTTTGTCGCACTACCACTAAGTTCATGTTCATCTGAACGTTCGGCATCTGCTCTCCGCTGGATGAATAATTACGTGACGTGTACAAAAACGTAAGAAAGACTGAGTGCTCTAGCTATAATACATAATCATTATCACTACTATCAACACTGAAACTGTATGTGAGTTATTTATGGAAAAGTATCCTAGAAGAATGGACCATGCTAACATGTTATTTCAGTGTATGATTGCTAATAGCTAATATATTATTGCTGTACAGTTTTTTAAATTAGTAATATAATTTAACAATTAAAACTACTCTGCGTGTATATAATACAATACTTTACTGTACTAAAACATACATATTTATGTTCATTTAAGTTTAGTTCCCCATGCAGTGTTACAGCAGAATGATGATTTGTTGACTTTTCATTGGATGTTTGTGGATTTTATGTGAACAGTCATGTAAAAATAACTTCCAGATTTAATCTCATAGCACCTACTTTTTACACATTTTCTAGGGGGCATGTTTTGCATGCTGATTGTGCTTCGCACAATAGGTGTTGGTTTTGTATCTCACAAATTAGAACCCCCCTTTTCTAACATTTTGCGTACGGGCCTGATATACCATAGCCATTGGCATTTTATTGATTTTCTGAGATATGTATATATAGATTTTTTTTAATGTTAAAATCCACATGACGCGCTCCTCTCATCATTCACTATTTTCAAGACATGTCTATAATTATCTTTGACATTGCTATTGGTGATGTTTATAGCATTATTATGAGTTTTTTTTATCTTTACGAGATTATTTATATGTATATGTTAGTTTTTCGGCCGTAAGTTTACAATGGCTTCAGAATCTGACTAGATAGGACTTTAACGGAATCATGTTAGTAATTCCAATTTCTTTCTGCTCTTTCTTTCGCATATTTCTCTCTTTGAATATTCTCATAAAGAGTCGCTCGGGAAAATTCTCGATTTCTCGAATAGCCATTCCATGTCTGACGGTACAGGCCCCAGAAAATCGTTCTTATAAAACATGATGAACCCTTAGCATTCGAACATAATTTTTTTATTACAAAGACCTTTATATATTGAAAAGAGTTTCCTTTTTTGTAGGATTTATACAGTTTGAGCTGCCCTGAAGTACTTTAGGCAGACCTTCAAAAACGTTTGAACTCTTTATTTATGTAACAAGCAAAAGAAACAAACAACGTGGTTTATCATTAAGTTTACATATTTTGTCTGAAATGAATATAAAATTCAAGTGTTCTTTTTAATTATTCCTTTAATAAAAGATTATAATTTAATCATTTGTTTTTCTTTTACGCGTTATGGTGACGATATAATGCATTTTAACATAAGACTGTCTCAGAGCAATATATTAAGTGAAATTAATTAATTAATATGCGAATGTATGTGAACAATAAATTATTTGTTTGTTTGTTATTAAGCGCAAACCAAGACAATAGGCTATTTGTACTTGGTCCACAGCTTGATTCTAAACCCAATGTTTTTAGTGTTATAAGCCCTCAGACCAGTGCCGGATTTACCATGAGGCACCCTGCCTCAGGGTCCTCACAGTTTAGGACCTCCACAAAGTTTTTTTTTTAAATATTAATATTATGAAATGTGAACAACTAGGTTAAACTGATTTTCATTTCTATAGTTATAACTGTTCTATTATAGGTGTATTCCACCTGCGTGGCCTGAAATAGAATATAGATTATTACAGATTATTAAATATAGAAACAAATGTAATTATTGTAAACATAACAGTGCATACAGGCGTCAGCTTAAGGCAAACCACTAGATGGTCTCAGCTGGCCTTGTTGTCAACATTGCTCCGGGAGCTCCCAGAATGTAACGAACAAGCTCGCAGGCGGCAAATCATCCCTAAATAACCAAACTCATCCATGCATGTACATAGGTCCATAGATCATCCACCAATACAAACTGTGTACGCTACACAATATTCATATATAAGCATTTACATGAATATACATATATATATATATATAAAAGACATACAGCTACACAACACAAACATATATATATATATATATATAAGACATACAGCTACACAACACAAACACATATATGATATATATGCAAGGTGCACCCACACATACAAACATGCACAGCGACACACAAACATACATACACACTACACACGTAAACATATAAGATATACTGAATATTCTATGTATTTTCTATTTTATTATATTATTGATTTTTGTATTATATTATATTTTTGTATTATTATATACGTTACAGAAATGAGTGATCGACACAAATGTCACGATAACATTTTAATGGTGATCAAAAGAGGAGATTAGTACATGGAAAAAAGAAAAAGTATCAGGAAGTTGTCAAAAAATGTAGAACAATTGGTGAATACTTTACCCAGTCACAGCCACCATCATCTAATAATGAAGTTAATACTGAAGGTTCAGTTGTTACTCAGTCTCAGATGGACTCTGATTCAGAAGAAGTAGAATCGGAGTCAGTTGAAGTACAGCACAAAAAGTTCCAAGACTTGAACTGGACATTTGTCTATGCCCTTTCCATCTCACTTCTGAAGTGATCAATTATTGGGTAAGGATAGGTCCAAACGTGTTACAAAACAAGGGTAGTGACTTCACCAAATCATGCAAAAGTACTCGTTCTTGCACTCTACAGATGTTTGATCGTACTCATCCAAATTATGAAAAAAAAAATGATTGAAGTTGGTTATGTTATTCACACAGTACTGGTGAGGTTTATTGTTTTCATTGTAAACTATTGAATCTAGGCCAAGGTCCACTGGTGACTCAAGGTCTCCATGACTGGAAAAATGCCGGCCGTTCTCTAGATGGTCATGTACAATCAAAAGTTCATTGTGATGAAATCATAAAATTTGCAAAACTTATGACAGACAATGGTAGAATTAATAAGCATCTGGTAAAACAAGCTAATGAATTAGAAAATTGTTGGAGAATAATACTTCAGAGAGTAGTAAGTGTAAGCAGGTTCCTTGGAGAACGTGGGCTTCCTTTCCGTGGTGACGATGAAAAAGTATGATCAACCAAGAATGGAAATTTCTTGGGTATGATGGAATTTATATCAGATTATGACACTTTGCTGGAAGAACATATACAGAAACCTGCGAACAAAGGAAGTTGATATACAAATTATCTGTCATCAACCACTTTTGAGGAGCTAATTGAAATAATTGGTAATTTAATTCTGAGCACTATTGTTTCGAGGCTAAAATCATCAAAATATTTTTTTCTGTATCTATCGATTCTATTATAGATAATAGCAATACTGGTCATATCACTTATTGTGTTAGATATTTGGAAGCTGGTGGTCCTGTTGAAATATTTTTAACCTTATGGATAGTCGTGGTCACACTGGTCAATAGTTATCACCATGCAAATGCCACTAATGTATTGCAATCTGGCTATGCTGAAATTATGGATGTACTTGAAGATATATCTACTAATGAGGATGAGAAAGGATAAGATAGAAACACACCATCAGGTTTGGTGAATATATTGTATAAATTGCAAACAGAGATTTTCAGTGACCTGTGGCACACCATTCTTGAAAGATTTGATGTGATTAGCAAGCAACTACAAAACCCCAAGGTAGATCTCAACACAGCTATCGCACTGCTGAAATCATTAGTGGAATTTGTGCAAGCGTTGTGAGGTCGTTTTGTTGATTTTGAACAATCAGGAATTGGAAAAAGAGGCACATCAGAATACAATGTACAGCTCGGGTGCGTTCATCGTAGTAATGTCAGATTAGATCCGTTAGATTATGGCAAAAGGTAAAGAAGTACAACACAGTCCAAGAGACCACTTCAGAACTTTCAGTTTCATATCTATAATCGATCGTCTTATGCAAGAATTTAGAAAGAGAATTAGAGCTTATTCTCATGTGGCTAAAAATTTTGGTTTCTTTGATGCTCTAATTTCTCTAACTGATGATAAAATTCAGGATATGTCAGATGGATTACTTAAACTTTATTCTGCTGATTTGGAAGAGTGTTTCATTAATGAACTTGTTCAATTTAGAAAGGTTGTGTAATTATTTTTAGAGGAAAGGAATGATCATGGTGATGTCAATAATGCTCATTTCACGTATCTCCTTATTCATAGGAAAAATCTCAAGTCATCCTTTCTAAATGTTGAAATTCTTCTTGGGATTTATTTGTCACTCATGATGTTCAAGTGAAAGATCTTTTTTAAAGCTGAAGTATATCAAAAATGATTTGTGCACAACAATGACTCAAAAACGACTGGATTGTCTTTCTTTAATGTGTATTGAAAGTGATATACTTCGTGGCCTTGATTTTTAAGATATATTGAATGAATTTGCAAGTTCAAAAGCACAAAAATCTTACATTAAGTCTGTTTATTTTATTTTCGTATTGTAAGTATATATAATATGCATATATCACTTTTTTTCCAAAACATTATGAGTTTGAACAGGGTTAAGGGCCTCCACAGTCGGAGATGCCTCAGGGCCTCCACGGGTCTAAATCTGGCCCTGTCTCAACTTACCATTGGGCCACCTGGGTAGGAACAGTAATAAGCATAGTAAGTAGACCTTAGAGCCAGGACAAATTGTTTCTGGTAGCTGCCTAGCTGGCTTATTACAGTTCATATGGCTGGCTAAACCACAAATTTCAATATATTACACAGGATATTATAATTACTGTACCAAACAGTTTCACTGCATCATAGCTGTGTGTGTTACCTCTCCAATGAAGTACCGCTTCCTTATCGCTACAGCAAGAAAAATCTAATCAAAAACACTTTAGGTGTGAAAAAAAGGTGCGGCCAAAAAAGGATTGACTGGTAGTTAAACTTATAAAACTGATAAGAATTTTTCAGCAAATATTCATTCATTTAGCTAGACCGCGTTTTTTGTTCATCTAAATTAATGAATGAATATGTGCTGTAAAATTCTTATCAAAGCTATAAGTGTAGTTACCCATCTGGCGGGCACTTTTAACTTCATTCCTTTAATTTGCATGCTCAATCTTTTTTTGACTGCATATTTTGTTCACACCTTATGTGTTTTTGATTAGATATCATGACTTTTTCAATACACACCAAATAAGAAAGTGACACTTGATAGTAACAACATTAACTTTAGGATCGCAACCATATTATTTGGAACATACCTTTA